GTTTTTTTTTATATAATTATTTATATTTGTATAAGTTTGTTATTTGTTTTTTTTTATTATATTTTTATATGTATAATAGAATATGCTGCTGTACAATATTAATTAATTTTTATAATTATTATTTTTTTATCAAATATTTTTTTGTTTTTTTTTATCTTTTAACATTTTTCTGATTATAGTACACATTTATATTTATTTCATTTTCTTATATTTTTTATTTTATGAGTTAAACATCCATAAACTTTAACAATTTAATATTTTTATGTATATTATGGTTTTAGCTTTAAAAATATATCTTTTTATATATATTTTCAGGCATTTCGCTTGTACTTAATTTGTAAAGTTGACAGATTTTTCTAATAAAAATATTTTTTTTTTATTATTTTATTTATGTTTGGCCCCCGAAAGTAAGAAAAAAAATTTAAAATTATTTGCAAAAAATCTAATATTAAAAATAAATTAAAAGTAAATAATAAAAGGGAGAGCATAGTAAATATAATTATTATAATTTTATTTTGATTTATTATATAGTAGATGTATATTATTTATATTTTATATATACCACACATTAAGTTTTTAGTTTTTTTTTTTTTTTAATAGATTTAAAATATATTTTGTCTACGTATTTTATTTTAAGATTTTACTTTTAAAATGAAGCGTTTTATTTTACAGAGCTGGATACATTTTACATACATTTAGTGAGTAAATAGTTTTAAATTAAAATTTATCACTCGCTCACTCAGTATAAGACTGTCATAAGTCAAGAATTTTAAAATAGAATTAATATAAATATTTTGTAAAAATTTTTAAAATTTAAAGTTTTAAGTGTTGACTTACTGTCTTGTACAAAGTGTGGTAGAGTTTAATCAATTTTCGAATTTTATTTTAGTAAATAATAATAATAATAATAACGTTGGATAATCTAGTATGTATTTTAAAAGATATAAAAACCAAAAATTGGTAAATACAAATATTCATTAAATTTCATGTGCGTTTGGGGACTTTTTATTTTAGTTACATGATAAGTTTTGTTCAATAAATAATTCAACTTTAAATGAAATAACAAAATAAATATTTAATTCTATAAATAAATATTTTTTTAACTTTTTAATAAAAATATAATTAAGGAAAATAACTAAATGACTTGTAATTTTAAAGAATTACAATTAAATATGAATAATTTTTAAAAATTTTCTTAAAATTCTTACACATATTTAAGTAGATGATTACTCAACTAAGAAAGTTTTTAGCTAAAATCAATTAAAATTTTTCTAGAAAACTATGGTACCACAGGGTATTCAAACGATTAATCGTCGATCTGTTAATTGATAGATTTTTGACGATTCAACGAATAAAAATTAATGATCAATATCTAAAAATAAAGGAAAGTATTTAATAAATACTTTCCATAAATCCATAATCAATCCAATTTCGAAAAATATTAAGTGTAATTTTAAAAATTTCGAACAAAAATAAACAATTTTCAGCATGATTTTATTGCGGTTCAAAGTTCATATTACTAAAAATATTTTCTTAGAGGCATGATATTTAATATTGTATAATTTTTATCTAGCCATCCGATTGTATTAATTTTGGCCTCAAAGTAATAGTTATTTGTTATAATAAAGATCTATTCAGATAATAAACAAATAAGTCAAAATAGTGTAGCTATGTATATCCGGCCATATGATTTCCTACACAAGTTGTTCAGTTTTAAGCTGAATATTTTTATTAAGCCTAATTTCTGATATTTATAGAATTTCATAGAATGAATAATCTTGTCATGAATTAAACATATTAATAGTACATATAGAATTTGATCGGGCAATTTTGTTGCCAAACATAATCATTTATATCGGATTTTATCTTAATACCAATATATTAAAGCGATTTTTTTCAATAAACCGATTTTTTGAAAAAGTACTTCTTACAACGACGCTTCCATAATAAACAGATTACAATTCGGTGAAACGATTCTATACTTCCATTAAATTAAATTAAATTAAGGAAGTAAATTTCTGATGGGACAAAGTTCAATTTTCGTCATTCTATAAAATGTTCCTATATTTTATATCTTTCTGTGACAAAAAATGCAGAAATGACCAGAAAATCAGCAACAGTATCTCTCTCAAAAATAATGACATCATTTATAAAAAAAATGTTTGTTCCAAATTGTTTTTTCGCGAAACAGTTGTGTAAGAAAATTTAACTTTATAGTAAAATCTGAAGGGCTTAGATTTACCGAGAAAAAGGCTAACGGAATCAATTGTTAGTTTCTATTTCTGTACGTATAAATAACCTATTAAACAGCTTTTAGACGGCCAAATTATAAAAAAGCATATAATATTTTGGTAAGTAGTCCACATAGCAGTCAATAGACCAATCAGCAGTCTAGACTATAGTCTAGTCTTTAGTTTAATCTATATACTAATCTATAGTCCAGTCTATAGTCTAGTCTAGTCTATATACGAATATAAAGTCCAGTCTATAGTCTAGTTTAGTCTATAGTGTAGTCTATAGTCTAGTCTATAGTCTAGTCTATAGTCTAGTCTATAGTCTAGTCTATAGTCTAGTCTATTGTCTAGTCTATAGTGTAGTGTATAGTCTAGTCTATAGTCCAGTCTATAGTCTAGTCTATAGTCTAGTCTATAGTCTAGTCTATAGTCTAGTCTATTGTCTAGTCTAGTCTAGTCTAGTCTAGTCTAGTCTATAGTCTAGTCTATAGTTTAGTCTATAGTCTAGTCTAGTCTATAGTCTAGTCTATAGTCTAGTCTATAGTCTAGTCTATAGTCTAGTCTATAGTCTAGTCTATAGTCTAGTCTATAGTTAGTCTATAGTCTAGTCTATAGTCTAGTCATAGTCTAGTCTATAGTCTAGTATCGTCTAGTCTATAGTCTAGTCTATAGTCTAGTCTAGTCTAGTCTATAGTCTAGTCTATAGTCTAGTCTATAGTCTAGTCTATAGTCTAGTCTATAGTCTAGTCTATAGTCTAGTCTATAGTCTAGTCTATAGTCTAGTCTATAGTCTAGTCTATAGTCTAGTCTATAGTCTAGTCTATAGTCTAGTCTATAGTCTAGTCTATAGTCTAGTCTATAGTCTAGTCTATAGTCTAGTCTATAGTCTAGTCTATAGTCTAGTCTATAGTCTAGTCTATAGTCTAGTCTATAGTCTAGTCTATAGTCTAGTCTATAGTCTAGTCTAGTCTAGTCTATAGTCTAGTCTATAGTCTAGTCTATAGTTAGTCTATAGTCTAGTCTATAGTCTAGTCTATAGTCTAGTCTATAGTCTAGTCTATAGTCTAGTCTATAGTCTAGTCTATAGTCTAGTCTATAGTCTAGTCTATAGTCTAGTATATAGTCTAGTCTATAGTCTAGTCTATAGTCTAGTCTATAGTCTAGTCTATAGTCTAGTCTATAGTCTAGTCTATAGTCTAGTCTATAGTCTAGTCTATAGTCTAGTCTATAGTTAGTCTATAGTCTAGTCTATAGTCTAGTCTATAGTCTAGTCTATAGTCTAGTCTATAGTCTAGTCTATAGTCTAGTCTATAGTCTAGTCTATAGTCTAATCTATAGTCTAGTCTATAGTCTTGTCTAGTCCATAGTCTTGTCTAGTCCATTGTCTTGTCTAGTCTATAGTCTTGTCTAGTCTATAGTCTAGTTTATGGTCTAGTCTATAGTCTAGTCTATAGTCTACTCTATATCTAGTCTATAGTCTTGTCTAGTATATAGTCTTGTCTAGTCTATAGTCTTGTCTAGTCTATAGTCTTGTCTATAGTCTAGTCTATAGTCTAGTCTATAGTCTTGTCTAGTCTATGGTCTAGTCTATGGTCTAGTCTATAGTCTAGTCTATAGTCTTGTCTAGTCTATGGTCTAGTCTATGGTCTAGTCTATAGTCTAGTCTATAGTCTAGTCTATAGTCTAGTCTATAGTCTTGTCTATAGTCTAGTCTATAGTGTAGTCTATAGTCTAGTCTATAGTCTAGTCTATATTCTAGTCTATAGTCTAGTCTATAGTCTAGTCTATAGTCTAGTCTATAGTCTAGTCTATAGTCTAGTCTTTAGTATTGTCTATAGTCTAGTCTAAAGTCTAGTCTATAGTCTCGTCTCCTGAATATAAAGCGTGTGGTAAAGGAAGTGAAATGTTTAAAAATTCGTTACATTTCAAGTAATATGTGATTTACAGACAAAAAGACAATTTTATATGTTAAATTTGAACTATCAGCATTCAAAGAAGTAATATGTTTCACAAATTACCTATAAAGGTAATTCTTTAAAAAAAATAATATTGCTCCGAACTATAAGCAAGAAAATATATGTGATAAAATTTTAGATTTTACAATACATATTATCATAATTGTAACTTGCTGTAAGTTGCATACATTTTTTTTATATATATTTAGGTAAATATGTATATATATTTACTTATATTAAGAAATACATAGTAATACAAACATGTAACATTCATTGCAAACATTTAACAATTAAAAACATAATTGGCATTAATCAAAACACAGCCAAACACTTTATTTCTTCTTTTCTTAAAAAAATCAATTTTCAAAACAATTTTAAAAATCTTAAAAATTAAAAAATAACACATATTTTTCAAGTTTTTCGTTTAGGTTTTCAAACACTGAGAGTAAATTTAAATGAAAAAGCAAAAAACTTTGTTATAAATATTTTATAAAAAATAATTAAATTTTTAATGTGGTTTTAAATGTAATGTTGAAAATATTAATAAATACTAGTAGGTTTAATAGAGACTCTCAGTGTTAAGAAGTTTTATTTTAAATTTTTTTTAATTGATTTTTGATTATATTTACTGTATTTATTTTCATTTCATTATATCAATATTGTTTCATTATTGTAAATTTGTTGAATTTTATTGGCCTTCTGTTGCTTAATTTGATTTTGAATATATATTCCAATTTCATGCATTTTATTTGTTCATCTTAAATTTGTTGGGTTGTTGTTTCTGTTGAGACTGGTGTTCCTTTATTTTGTCCTTTAAGCCCCTGAATTTGTTTTGATAAATTTTATTGTATTTTTCTGATGTTGAATTTGTAAAAAAAATTACTGCATTTTCTTTTCTTCATGGGCTTTTTTGACAATTGCCAATTTGGAATGAGGGGAAGCGGGCGATAGAGTACGATAGGGTGCTTCTTTTGTACCGTGTAATACCAAAGACCAATCAATGAGCCAACCAGATCGTGGTTGATTTGAATTGAAACGAGCCTGTAAGAAAGTTTATTAGTTTTATTTAGTGTCCATTAATGTAAATAATTATCTATTTATATTACCTCTAATTTCCATGTGCCATGAGGATATTCACCCCACGAGTGTGTTGTCATGAAGGGCCATTTGGTAAAACCATCCCGATGATCATCATCATTAGTACGACGTGAAAGAATCATTGATCTAAAATAAGGTTTTTAAAAATTTAATAAAATAACTGAGTAATGTATATCAAGATGGACTCTATATATTTACATATATTAAACGAAACATTATTACAAGTGTAGGGACATTTGTTATGGAACTAAGTTCGTACCAAAGTATACTTCTCAGAAGGATTGAGACGAGCTTAAGCCTCAGAATTTCACCGTCACAACCGAGATTTTAGATATCGTGTTTTGAAATTTTATAAAACGCCATTTTTAGCTCTTTTTATGACGTTATAAAAGCTCCAAGGCAAAGTTGTTTATAAAATTTCGCATTTATTTTACAAAAAAGGTTATACTTTCCAATTTATCATAATTTTACACAAAAATCTGCTGTTGTTTCTGAGATATCATCCGTTAAAAATAACGGACAGACATTGTTGAGTCGAATCAGAAAGTGATTTTTAGTCGATTAGAACATTTTCAGATTGGCGTTGATCCAATATTTTTTTTTCATTATAAACAATATTTGCAAAGCATAATACCCTTCGAACTACAATAGTGTAGGGTATTAGTATCATGAATAAACTGAAAACAGTGAGTTTTCAACATTTAGCTGAAGATATCTCGAAGAAGAAAGAAGATGACAGATGACATATAATATTTTATAAATTAAGTTATTTTAAGGGCCATAAATGGCGTTTTTATAAATTTCTGTGCACGATATCTCAAATCGAATTCAGTGCGACTTAATCCTTTAGGAAACTTTAACTTGGTCTCAGGGTATAGAATTTTTTCAAATCATGCCAAAACTCTGTATTTTAAAATGATACGATTATATACATATCAAGATTCTTAAAAGATTTTGGATTCTGAAGCCAATTTAATATCAAAGAGTAAGTCAATAGTACTTCGATTATCATAAAATTTTGTAGACAATTCCAGTTTTAACTAAAATTTGTTTCTGTCTCCTTTGACTTACCTTGTTCCCATGGGTGACGTTAGGAATAATTCCAAATCACCACGCCTTGAAGCATTCGCTGATATAACTGCTTGCACATGTTCCAAATAGTTTACTTCGGTATCGGTGCCTTTGCAGGCATCCGTTTTAATTTCCAAATATAAGGAACGACCAGAATAAATAGGACTGAAATTTAAAACAAGTTACTCAATCAATATAAAATCTTCTAAAATAATTAATCACACTTAATACTTACTGTGCATCTATAATATCTCCAGCTTCACAATGATATCTAGCAGGTACAGTATGCCACTGTTTGGCTAAAGTCACCATACCACCAGCATCCAAAACGCCGAAACCAAACAAATGATTAAATTCCAAACCCACACCATTCATTGTCCAGTGGAAACGATTTTTAGCATCGAATAGAGAATTACGTTTAGAAGTCAAAACTGTCAAGTGCTGTATATCACGCCAGGTTAATTGGGGACTAAAGAAGAGATTATATAAAGGTAAATATAACAAATTTATAACTATTCAAAGTTTACATACTTGGCTTCCAAAGCTAAAGCAAATACACCAGCAGCCTCTGGAGCTGCAGCACTAGTACCCGAATGAGTGGTTGTACATTTGCCATATAAATCTGTGGTGGCTACACCAGTATTGGGATCCTTGGCCCCATTACTGAATGTACTGGCTAATGTTGAACTGCAACTTTCATCGTAATGAGCATTTTGACCATCATTAATGGCACTGTTAATGGAAATTGTCCACATAGAAGCCGCATAGCCATCACAATTGCAATCATCCTCCTCGCCACCATCTCCCGAAGCCCATACATAAATATTACCTAAGCCATTACGACCCTATAGCATGAGAGGGGGTAAGCAAATTTACAAGTTGTTAAAACCACAGAAACCACAAAGGAAATGTTTACACATGTATATTTTCACACAAATTGTTGCACACTATTACCTCATTAACACCCTGCACTATGGCACGCATGGTGGCATTACGCGGACCATCTACCGTTTTGCCATCATCGGTGGGACCCCACGATGCACTGTAAATGTGAATTTTATGTGGTTCATGGCCCATAGAATTTGCTTCAATTAAATCTGTCATATAAGGTTGATCCAACATGCGAATACCTTTAAAAGAAAAATAATAATAAAGTGTGATTTCCAATCAATAACAATTTTATTTTCATCTCACAGCAATATTTGATTTGACATAAAGAACATAAATATTTAACAAACATTTAGCACTTTTTATGATTCATACAATAAAAATCAATTTCGATAAAATGTAATATTTACACATTTAGTAAAAGTGTGTACCACCTACATATTTAGATATGAGAATCGGGACTAGAGTTGTTGGAAAGAAATTCAATTTCAATCGAAATCGAAAAGGTTCAGGTGTGCAAATATACTTGCAAACACAATAAATATGTAACTTGGGTCACCTATTTTCGATCAGAAATATATGTATATATGGAACTCAAGCGAAAAAGCTATAACTTTCAAATATAAAAATTAATCCGTTTTAGTTAAATTTTGAGGATTAGAATTACATATTTTCTTTAGTTACTTAAAATTAAAAAAAAATAGGAAAGTATAGTCGGGCATGGCCAACCATATGATACCCTACACCATTGAGTATGTTAAAAATGTGGATTATTTTTAATAATAAAGCTTTTAAGTTGTTTACCCTAATTCCGAAATATTTTAACAATTTGTTGACAAGGGTAAATATGGGCCTATCCTTATAAATTTTGGTACATGGCTTTACGTTTACATTAGAGTTATGTATGCTGGATTTCATCGTGATACCAGTGTTTATAAGTGACATATTGACCTTCAAGTCATTTTCTGAAGGGGACTTTGTATGAGGGCTAGGGTCAAATAAAATCCGATAATTACGAAAATCGGCAGTATTATTAAGACGTATGTATATAGAACAAAGTTTTGTCGATTTTTTTAGAGATACTACAATATTTAATATAATTATGTACTCAAAAGCCCTTTTCGGGGGATAGGATTGTATGGTGGCTAGGTGAAATAATGGACCGATTTCAACCAAATTATATTGAAAATTTCGACCTGTACCTTGCGCACAAGGTTTTCATGGACAGCCAGCCAGCCGGACAGACGGACGGACATGGCTTAATCGACTCAGAAAGTAATTTGTGTGCGTTACAAAGATCAGCACAAACGTATAATACCCTCCCCACTATAGTGGTGTAGTGTATAATTATATCATACAAATCTGATATTGTCGTTAAAATTTTTGAATCAGGATCATGGAACTACTTGGTACAATTTTAATACAAAACCTTGATGAATATGTATGTCCTCTGTATTTACACGCATTTTACTCTATTTGGTTTATTGTATGTACTATATGATTATTATTTACCTACTTTAACATATGTGTAAGTATATATCGTTAACTAAAACGCAAACGGTTATATCTAAAATTTTTAAATTTTTACAGGAGAAGCAAAAAAGTAAATAAACAAATTGTTTAATAGTGTTTATGATAGTTGACAACGGCGTATATAAAAATTGATAAATTGAACTTTTTACCTTTAATATTTAAATGTTTTTGTAGATAGGGTCTTTTGTTTTTTTTTTTCAATAAAATCGATAATTATGGCCGGAGGAGTCCAAATCTTGGTGTGAACATTTGTTTTAATGTAATATATAAGAATCAATAGTAAAATTGATTTTGAATTTTTGGTTAGTTAGGGCCGTTTCCGTTTCAGGTGACGATATGTAGATATGTGTATATTTATTATAAAAATTGTAAACACACACTTTTCCACAATATGACAGAATACAATGTCAATAAATATTGTTTGTCATAAATATTTAGCGATAACGAGCTTTGATTTGTTCTTGTCATAAACTATTACGAAACATTTAACTCAAATGAATAATTTGTATCTAGAAACATACTTATAAATATTTTGCTTATAAGCTACAATTCTATAGATACATACTATCAGAAAATCCCTTTATACACTGCCAAATAACAATTTAACAAAATGAACTTATGGTATTAGGAATGGGACTATAGAATGAAGGCAATCACATATTACAATGATAAAATAAATTAAATTGCTATTCACTTGGAGTATTTAAATGAATTAAAGGGCCTGTACAGAATCACCAAAACCTGAAACGTCGTAGAAATACATATGTATTATTCGTAAAAGTATTATGTAACAGCTTTTACCGACCTTGTTACAACAAAAAATACTATAGTCTTAGAATCTAATGTACTATTTATTGATGATGAAAAAATTAATAAAAATTTAAAGGTTATTTCAGAGAAATAAAACATAATCTATCCTAAGAAAAAACAAGTAAGAAACTATAGTCGGGCAAAAATATATATGTATATATATATTTATAAAAATAAAATGTGATTTAGTTTTCACAATAAAGCATTTAATTTGAATTGAATCTTGCCTCAGATATACTTAAGCCATTTATTGTTAAATAAAATTGTGGACATTTAAGTCAAATTTTGAAGGGGGCTTTGAATAGGGGCTATGGCCAAATGAGACCCTATAATTATAAAATTCATAAGGGTGATCAAGGCTGGTATAGAAGTTTGTTTTGCAGCTTTTTGTCGAGATACGAGTATATTAAACCTAATTATGAACTTAAAAGCCCTATTCGGGTTTAGTTGTATCGGGGCTGGGTGAAATAAAGGACCGATGTTAACCATTTTCAATAAGCTTCGTCTCTGGTACCAAGATCATGTGCCAAATTTTATTGAGTTATCCTCAAAATTGCGACCTGTAGATTGATTACAAGGTTTACAAAATCTATTCGGGGGTTCAATTGGGGCTAGGTGAAATAATGAACCGATGTTAACCATTTTCAATAGGCTTCGACTTCGGTACCATAGAAGATCATGTGCCAAATGTCATTGAATTATTTTTAAAATTGCGACCAGTAGTTTGATTACAAAGTTTACAAGTCCTATTCAGGGGTTGAGTTGTATGGGAGCTAGGTGAAATAATGGACCGATCTTAACCATTTTCAATAGGCTTTGTCTTGTCCCTGGGACAATAGAAGATCTGTACCAAATTTCATTGAATTATCTTCAAAATTGCGACCTGTAGTTTGATTACAAGGTTTACAAGGGCGGACATAGCTAAATCGACTCAGAAAATGATTCTAAGCCGATTGATATACTTTAAGGTATAGGACCAATATTATTGTGCGTTACAAACACAGGAACAAATTTCTAAAACGGATTCAAATTGAATTTAGCAAAATGTCGATCATCAGAAATAACTATATGTTTTGATTGAATGCAGAAAAAAAATAAGAAATTATAGTCGGGCGAACCGACCATATAATACCCTACACCTGTTACAAAAATGAAATGTGATTTTGTTTTCATAATAAAGCATTGTAGTTGAATATACTTAAGCCATTTATTGTTGAATAAAATTGTGGACATTTAAGTCAAATTTTGAAGGGGGCTTTGTATAGGTGCTATGCAAAAATTGCGACCTATAGTTTGATTACAAGGTTTACAAGCCCTATTCAGGGGTTCAGTTGTATGGGGGCTAGGTGAAATAATGGACCGATGTTATCCACTTTCAATAGGCTTTGTCTCCGGTACCATAGAAGATCATGTGCCAAATTTCATTGAATTATCATCAAAATTGCGACCTGTAGTTTGATTACAAGGTTTACAAGCCCTATTCAGGTGTTCAGTTGTATGGGGGCTAGGTGAAATAATGGACCGATGTTATCCACTTTCAATAGGCTTTGTCTCCGGTACCATAGAAGATCATGTGCCAAATTTCATTGAATTATCTTCAAAATTGCGACCTGTAGTTTGATTACAAGGTTTACAAGCCCTATTCAGGTGTTCAGTTGTATGGGGGCTAGGTGAAAAAATGGACCGATGTTATCCACTTTCAATAGACTTTGTCTCCGGTGCCATAGAAGATCATGTGCCAAATTTCATTGAATTATCATTAAAATTGCGACCTGTAGTTTGATTACAATGTTTACAAGCCCTATTCAGGGGTTCAGTTGTGTGGGGGCTATGTGAAATAATGGACCGATGTTAACCATTTTCAATAGGCTTTATCTCCGATACTATAGAAGATCATGTGCCAAATTTCATTGAATTATCATCAAAATTGCGACCTATAGTTTGATTACAAGGTTTACAAGCCCTATTCAGGGGTTCAGTTGTATGGGGGCTAGGTGAAATAATGGACCGATCTTAACCATTTTCAATAGGCTTCGTTCCTGGGACAATGTAGTTTGATTACAAGGTTTACATGAACGGACAGACGAACGGACATAGCTAAATCGACTCAGAAAATGATTCTAAGCCGATTGGTATACTTTAAGGTGGGAATAGGACCAATATTATTGTGCACAAACCCAATATACCCTCCCCACTAAAGTGGTGTAGGGTATAATTACTTATTCATCTGCAGTTTTTTTAAATCAAGTTTAAATTTGGAAATCAGTGATAAAAAATATTTCTGAGTAAAAAGTTTTAGCAAACACTATTTAATGTTTAATATAATAAAATGTGGTTTCAATTATAATATGTTTTCTATAATTCCTCCCTTTTTATGTATAAAGCAAAACAAAATTTCAAATGACCTACTTATACAACAATAATATATGAATTTTATTTTTTAAAATTAATTATCAAGTGTTTGAAACTACCCGCAGTAATTAGATTATTTGAAATTCAATTTATGTTTCTCCACTTGGTTTACTTACACAATATAAAACCAATGAATATAAAAACAAACGTTTTTACCACATTTAACCCATCTTTTTGCAGCATTTTTAAATATCACCACACTGCCACATGGCAACATATTTCAATAAAAACCAAAATCTCATTGTTTGTCAATAATTGCGAACTTTTTGCTTTTGTTTGTATGTATGTTGATTCGTCTGTCTGACTACAAATAAAAATGCAGTTTAATTGAACATTTTGCGTCACTTACCCGCAATTTTACTGTCATAAGCCACACCAACACCGCAAATGCCATTATCTCTGGCAGCAGCAACTTCTCCAGCACAACGAGTACCATGGCTGTAAGTATAACAGTGAATGGAAAATGAAAAAATTAAATATAGCAAAATGAAACTTAAACTTTGCTAAATAGACAAACACGTTTTGCGTAAATTATTTATGTAAAACAAAAGGTGTAATAGTTAATAAAATTTGCTTACAAAAAAATAATATGCCTACATTTCAATTTCATAATGGGAAAGATAATAATGACAAATAATTTTTTTCTAATTGTTGCTATTAAATTGTTTTAATTGAACATTTTATAGATCAGAAAGATCGGAAAAGTATTTGATATTATATAGCTTCCAAGACCATATAATTGCACAGAAGATGAGTTACCTATTGATTGTTTTCTAAATTGACAGTGATGGATGATTGATATTAAAGAATCTAACTGCGATCTATGAAGACCTAGGATAAAGACCGATTTGAATGCATCCATACTAGGTCACAAGGTTCTCGTGATCACACAATTATACTCTTATATACTCTCAACGTATCATTGTTCCTGCACTCCCTTGTCCCATATAAGGGTAATGATCGAATGTCCCTTCATAGACGACAAACATTCTGGGACAAGTTTTGATGTTTAGTACGCACTTATCAGGGAGTACTATTTCGCTGCCCTCTTAATCGCTGTCATTTCAGCTTGAAGAATGTACACAGAGGGAAAAAGAAATATACACGCCTGTTACCAAATCGACACCAAAGATTTTATAATTTTTCTATAACATCCATTGTCAAAGTATATACATACGTACGACAACACTATGTAATGTTGACAACGCAACGTTGACAACATTGCAACTATTAGTTGTCGAAATCTGAATTTTGTACACATCCGTTATCTAAATGTTAACAAACGTGGTAAGCTCACTATTGACAAACAATCCGTTGCCAATAGTGAGCTTACCACGTTTGTTAACGTTTAGACAATGGATGTGTATAAAATTTAGATTTCAACAACGAATTGTTGCAATGTTGACAACGTTGCGTTGTCAACATTACATAGTGTTGTCGTACGTATGTATATACTTTGACAACGGATGTTATTGAAAAATTATAAAATCTTTGTTGTCAATTTGGTACCAGGCGTGTATATTTCCCTCTGTGTACAATTATCATTAATCTAAAGGAGATGCTGGTCCTATATTTTTATATTCTATACTTTTATACTTCGAAATCCTCTCTAATTTCTTATATTAATAAGTTTATAACAAGCATTGTACAAAAATACTCGGCTAACAATGTTAAGTTCTTCAATATATCTCCACTACACAGAAGAAAAAACCCGGTCAAAAGTGAGCATACCACGTTTGTTTACATTTAGACAACGGATGTTTACAAAATTTAAATAACGCCCAGTTGTCATTTTGACAACCACCGTTGCAATTTTGACAGTTCATCGTTGTTATTTCGCCAACGCAACGCTCTGTTTGACAACATAGCGTTGTCACTTTGATACATAATATTATTATTTTTTGTTGATTTGATAATGTTATGTATTTTTTATATTTTTGTTGTTGATTTGACAACTATCCGTACATACTTTGACAACGGATGTCAATTTGGTACCAGACGTGTATTATTTTAAAAGGTCCTCTGTGTAACTTCCTTAATTTTTTTGGGTTTATCAATGAAGTCGTGGAAATAATTGACATAATACTGTGTGGATATACAATACCGAAAGTTCCACTTAAAAGATGGTTCCCAAATGCAGTAATCGATGGCATATACGTGTAATATAAAATCGACAATATTCACATGTCCCCTAGAATAAAAGGACCTCAATCTGAATACTGTACACATTGCTGCCCGAAAGCGATAAGACTTTCTGTTTACACGCGGAATCACATATTTTCCATGAGCTTAAGAGTGTCTTTCAGCTACATAATTTTTAAAACAATTTGTCAAATTCGTGAAATTTTCCTACCACCATTTACTTAATTTATCGCCATATATAGCCTTTAATACCAATATCCGGTTGAAAGGGAAATATTATTTAATCTTAAACTTTTCCCCAAAAGTTATTTTCACTTTTTTCTTTTCCTTAAAATTTTCAATATATTATTTAAAATTAAAAATTTATGCAAATTTTCCTGTAAGCATACTTTATTCCATTCTTTATGTAAAAATGCCTAAGTAAATACAAATTAAAATAGATAACTTTTTGTTTCCATTATTACTCACCTGTTGAACCAATCGTCAGTATAGCGGGGATATGGAAATGGATCATTGCTACTGAAATCATAACTGGCTTCAGCATTCTATTCAAATGATTCGATATTTGGTGGGTTGGTTGTTTGATTGTTTGAAAAAATAGAAAGAAAAATATAATAAATACAAAATATAAACAAAATGGAATATAAATAATGGAAAAGAAAAGTTAATTTAAATTTTGCATAACGCTTGAGGAATTGTTCTGTCATCATACTTCTCTTGATTGTAGAATGAAGTATTATTTTATATAGGAGTATATATTTACAAACAAGGAAAAGTACATATTATTAGTCTGCGTTATTATCTAGCAGATCTTTACTTACATACACACCATTTCCCAGTTAAGGGAAACAACAAATTCATAAGATAATCTTTAGCGATTTCAGCAGCTGCATTTGAATTTTTTTTCAAAAACCAATTTTTATTACAGCTTTTATTATTTTATTATGGGAAGTGGTTCAGTCGAGTAGACTACAATGCCTCAAGACTACAATAGTCATCCTTATTTTATGTTCTAATACGGATTATTTACCTTGAGATAAAGACAATCTTATTTGTTTAAATTTAAGATGCTTTCGTCTAAAGCTGATAAGAACGTGTATTTACTTGTTTATTTTATTTATTTTGTTTACCTGTTCGCCATTGTTAAGCGGAAATTGAAGATGAATGAGTAAAAAGTTGCGAAATACTCGCACGTATATAAAGTATTATTCATGTTTATTCTTTTATACTGCAATTGTATTTTAAGAACATTATTTCTCAATAGATTTTCTGCAAAGTTAATTTTTTTTTTTTTTTGTAATTTTTCAGTGCGATTAATGAGATTAAGGAAAAGTGCCTAAATATATTTAAGCTGAGGAATAAGAGATTGTGCCTTTTCAAATCGTTTAAAAATTAAATAAATCATCTTCATTAAGCTAATCTTTTAACTTTTCATTTTGGGATCTAAAGTTAACATAATAATTTTACTAAATGCCCCACAAACATTTTTTAAAATTTTTAAATTCAAAATCTTATTACTTACATAATTAAATTTCAAATCCGGATGCATATAATCAACACCTAAAAAGAAAATTTCATTCAAAATAATTACCACAAATATACAAAATATCATGTTGCCAAAACTTACCATCATCCATAATGGCGGTGGTAACATTTTTACCCGTAATACCCTGATCCCAGGCTGCTTGAACATTTAAATCCAAGCGGGCTTTACCGCCATTCTGACCAGTATTCTTTAAATACCACTGCATTGGAAAATAAGGATCTGTCGGTTCGGTACTCTCCATGCTAGATTGAGTATTGTAGGTGGCATCGAATTTAAGACCATGAATTGCATGAACAGCTGGACGTAAACCACGTTTCACACGTTTAAAGCCGGGTTGTTGTACGGCTGTATGAATCTAGAAAATAAATTAAAAATAAAACTTATAAAATATGTATTTTTTTATTTAAAGCATTAACTTCTATTGTTTTATATTGTTTAACTGTAAGTGTTTTTGGCGTAGTAACCTTTTTAGGTTTTTAATTGTAATATATGTACATATTATTGCTTTACCCCCTGGGGCTTGTCTTTATTTTTTGTGTGCCTGACTGTCTAGTCTGTTCAATAATATTAGTTTTGTTAGAGAATTATTCAAGTTATTTTTGGTTAAAAAGTTTATTGACATTGTTCTTATTCATACATATAATATAATTTCTAAAATTCAAATTATTTAAAATAAGCGAATTTCAATTGCCAAAAACTGTCTGTCTAAATTTAGCCCCAACTACAAAGAAAATTAAAATTTATTTATTTGAAGCATCTTGGTTTAAAGGCTTTTGGCACTAAACTTTTTTTACAACTCATATTATAGAAAACAAAGGAGTTTTTTAAGAATTAAAAATGATTCAACATTTATGATTCAAACACGCCTCAGTATGTTTTTTGCTGATGCAATATTTTATTAAATTCTTTAAAAAACAAGTAAGAAAGTATAGTCGGGCGTGACCGACCATATGATACTCTACACCAGTTATGAATATTAAATGTGATCTATTTCTCATAATAAAGCATTTATCTGGAATATTACCTTGATTCCGATTTATTTAAGCAATTTATAGAAAAACTAATTTTCTAAAAGAGGCTTTATATGGGGATAGAATCAAATGTGAACCGATCCCGATAAAATGGGCTGGATAGACCTATATTTATATAATAATTGTCTGTGATAAATTTCATTGCAATAACAGTGTTAATAAGTGAAGTCATTTTCCGAAGGGGGGCTTTGTATGGGGGGCTAGGGTCAAATGAAGTCCGATCATTTCGAAATTCGGCAAGGCTTGTATAAAACTTAGTTGTGCGAACTTTCATCGAGATACATTTATATTATACAGAATTATGAGCTCAAAAGCCCTTTTCGGGGGCTTCAGTTGTATGGGTGCTAGGTGAAATAATGGACCGATTTTAACCATTTTCAATAGGCTTCGTTCTTGAGTCAAAACAAACATATGTTCTAAATTTCATCGAATTATCTTGAAAATTGCGACCTCAGAAAGTGATTCTGAGTCGATCGGTTTACTTTAAGGTGGGTATATTACTAATATTTTAATGCGTTACAAACATCAGCACAAACGCATAATACCCTTCCCACTATAGTGGTGTATGGTATAAAAATTCAAGTTTATATATAACGAAAATGTTATCTACACAAGAAGTAAAAAAAAAATACCTAAAACTTGCTTATCCAACATTTTAGGTCACTAGACTAATAATCAGTAATTTATGCTGAGCTGTATTATCATGTACCGATATTAATGTTGGCATCAGTGTAATTTTCCGAATAGGGGGCTTACGTCAATTTGAAGCCGAATTTTTCCTTATTTTGTCCAAAGGGGCTAGGGTCAATTATGTTCTACTACTCATGAAATTTTAAAAATGTATTTTGGTTACTATAGAACTGGTATTCATACGCCAGATTTGAATATTTATAGACATTTTCTGAGGGATTCAAATATTGCCCGGTTGTTTCAGTACTTTACATTAAAACCTCTAAGTACCGTGCTAGTTTTACTACTCGCAAAGAGTTAAGTAAAGTCCAAGCATCTATGTTTTGACAGGAACACACCACACATCGGATGTAATATTGTATAGTATTAGTGAGAGAAGATGGAAGACCGTTTCTTCCTTTTCGACCAAGCCGACTTGTATGATTTCTTAGCACCCAATTTGCTGTTAGTACTTCAATCAAAAACAAAAATATAAATATTTGTAAATAAATAATATAACAAAACACATGTTTAATCCATCAAGATAAAAACAAAATGACAGATAATAAATCATTGCAACGGTGAGAGATAATCGATGCTTATCCAATTTGAGTACATCTCCGGGGATAATGTGTTTTCTTATTCACTGAAGATTCATTGATATTTTAAAGATGTCTATTTTTAAAATGTTTTATTCTTTTTCATTAATTTGTTTGATTTGGGTAACATGTTCCGATGTATGTAGTCCTAACCTCTTTCCTCAACTATCTAAAGCCATCATCTGATGGCTAAAACCGATCTTACAGTATACATTGTAAAAGTTACATTTATTTCATCAAATATTTAAATAACTTAATACATATTACCAAAAACTTTAGGTACAAACCACAAGTCTAATTAGTAGTAGGGGTAGGTAACATTCAATTTAAATAATAGAAAAGGTGCACTTTAAATAAGTACTTAGTAATATTAAATAAATTAAAACAAAACTTTCGTTCACTTAAAAAATTGTATAAAAATACTCGGAAATTGTTGCAAATTTTAATTTTTTCGCATAACATTTTTTTAAACGTTATTATTTCTTTTTATAAAATGAGACCTTTAATGTTGTGTCCGTACAGACGAAAAACATTAAAAGGATACAGCTTCAAAATATAATGGTGTGTATTCTAATTTCTAATGTTGTCAAGACTGCTTTGAAGTCGTTTCGTTAAATTTTTACTAGGCCACTATTTTCTGTTTAATATATTGTAGAAAAGTACAAAATAACCGGGAAATTTAAAAACGTTTAAAGCGCATAAAGTAAGTGTGAAACCCCTTGGTGGTAGAGTTATTGTGGAGTGTATAATGTCTGTAGGATGTTTCGAAAATGTCATATTCGTGGAAGGATAATGGACAATATAATTAATTAAATATTTTAAAACAGCATTTGGAAGCCAATGCAGTAAAATTAGTAATTGGAGTTGACTTTCGGTTCGTTTATGATAACAACCTAAACCGCTCATCGCAAAATTTGAAGTGAATGGTTAGGCGACAACGTAAAAGAAGTACTTCCTACCCTTCTCAAGTCCAGATTATAATCCCATAGAACACATACATGAGTAATTTTGGAGAAAAAAATTTTTTAATATACTATTAATATGCGATTTATGCGGAATAGCGGAATTTTTACACCGAAATCGATAGTAAATCGGTCACAATCAGCGAAAAATTGTTTTTGATATGTTATCCCAAGGCGAATTTCTTTGAATTTAAGATACGTTTAAGTTTTAAGCATTATGTTGCACAGAGACTTTTTTGAGTTTGATTATGGAGGAGTTGCATTTAAGAAGTAATTTACTAAAACATAGAGTATTATTTAAAATTGTTGCAGTTAGAAAATTTATTAGGACATTATCACCTATGATTAAATACAAATTTTTTGTAAATCGGACAAATATTATAGAATATATTACAAATTATGTTTTTAACTAGATACTGTACGGGGACTTATTTGAGTCAGTGTACATATGTATATTTATTTTGTGTAATTAATATTTTAATTACATGTTACAGTTAAATTAGTGTAATAATTGTTAGGTTCATCTAACAGAGTTAAGATACAAAATTATAAGCATACATTAGTACTTTTCAGTACGCGAACGCCATTTTGCAAAAAATGGTAAAGTTTTTGTTTTTAAACAAGTATTACTAATCACCAAAAAAACAAACAATTAAAAATATAATTTTTGTTATAAATAAATTAATATTTAAAGTCAAAACATCATAAAATTTGGCGAATGTATTCACGTTCACATGAAATGTATTTATGTTGACTTTCTTAGCGACATTAGTCTTTTTAAGCGAATTGTGGACATTTACATAAATCATTTCCTGATAAGGGCTTTGTATGGCGGCTAGGGTCAAATAAGACCCGATCATTTCAAAATTATTAAGGGACATCAAGAGTAGTATGGGGGGTATATTGTTTTTGCCATTCCGTTTGTAACACATCGAAATATTGGTCATAGACCCCCAAAAGTATATATATTCTGGGTCCTTATTAAATTCTAAGACGATAAATTGTTGAATGCACGATAAAGTCCGAACGAGAAGAGCTAAGGACCTGAAATTTTGCACAAATACTGTTTATTGATGCAGTTTATTGAAGATGTTTTCGCATAGCCCCCATACATAAACAGTCATATAAGTTCCCCTTCAGGAAATGACTTTAACGCTTATAACTTGCTTCGAAATGATAGCAATGCAATGAAATTCGACATAAACAAGTTTTCGGGAAACGAAAATCTCTCTTCCAAAGTTTATGGAGATCGGCCCATAATTGACCCTACCCCCCATATAAGGGTTCTCTCAGAAAATTACTTTAAAGTTTATTCTTAGTTTGCTTTAAAATTCCAGTATATCAACGAAATTGACATAAACATGTTTTATGGAAACTAAAATCTCTCAGCCAAATATTTATGGGATCGGTCCATAAGTGATTCTACGCCCCATAAAAGGTACCCTTCATAAAATGTCTTTAACGCTATATTTAACTATAACTTGCTTCAACATTAAAAAATAGAAACGAAATTCGACATAAACAACTTCTTCAAAATTATAGTAAAGCAATGAAATTCGACATAAACAAGTTTTATAAAAACGTAATTCTAACTGTTTTTTAATAACCATAATTGACCTTAGTCCCTATAAACGGCCTTTCTCATAGAATGACATTAAAGCGAGTCATGACCTAGTTTTATAGGATCTAAAATCTTTCTGTCAAATAATATGAGCAGCGGGCCATATTGGATCAAAGCATTGATATTCGATATAACAAGTCCTATTGAAACCTAAATCTTTGCAACATCTTAAGTGGATCGGTCCAAAATTTACCATAAGTAAATATACAGGAAATCAAATCATTAAACAAATTTATTAAATATGATAAAATAGGTACTACCATCACCCTGACTATATTACTATTTATATATTATAAATCAGCTTAGAAAAATCCAATAAGTGTTTAAATTGTGGTAGCAAAAACACCGATATATATTGTATAGGTCCTTTTTTCGAAATTCACTTGAAATTTAATACACATGATTTGATGGTGGGTATACAAGATTCAGTACAGCCGAATATAGCACTCTTACTTGTTATTTTTATAAACATAATCACAATGTTTTAGAAAAGATTTAGTAATGAGTATATCCGCCGTTATTCGATATAACTTCGCAATTTCGAGAGTTATAATGATTCTTAATTAATGGTAAGGAAATTTCAGCACAAGCCTCTTTAATTCTTTCAATTTATGTTTGTCTATAGTTAACATACCCCCCATATAAGGTCCACTTCAGAAAAAGACTAACGTTCATTGCTGGCTTAAAAATATGAATAAAGCGATGAAATTCAACACAAATAACTTTAATTCGAGCCAAAATCTGTCCACCAAATTTTATGAGGATCGGCCCATAAATGAACCTAAGTTTTATATGAACCAACGCGAATTTTATTATTTAGCTTATATGAGATTTTTTAAGACAGATGTGGGTATATAACAATACGGTCCTTCCAGTACGAATTGTGGTGATGCGTAGTACAAATCAGATGTATAAGGGAGGTAGTAAAAAAATGGCAATTATTAATCCATTTCAAAAGGATCTAAAAGTATTTTTGCCGAATTTTATTGATATTCAAAATTGCATCCTATAATAATTATAATTACAAAATCATAATATTAAACTGTAGTATTGAAGCATTAGACAACAAATTAAAACATTATCAACCTAATTAAAAGGGAAAAGCAGACAGTACTTGACCTTTTCTTCGATTAAATATTAATTATTAATCTCTTGGATTTGTATACTTTCATAAACTCTAATTGACAAAAAAAACAACTCTTCATAACATTAATTGTTATAATAATGAGTTTAATATTAATGTTTACCATTGCTCATTGTACCCATTATCAATTTAATCCGAAAAATCTTTATATTAAAAGATTTTTACAACTGAATGATCCGAAGAATATTTGGGTACTAATTTGAACACTTAATAAGATGCGCTATATATTCCTATAGAAGTGTTTAATATGTATTAAATGATCAAATGTAATTTTTAGAATATACCCTCTCTATTTTGCTCTATTTACATATTTGTTAAACAAAAGTACCTATATCGCTTTTTATCTTAATACCGATATACTTAAACAATTTCTTTTATGGATAATATGATTATCTGAAGGATAATTTATAAAAATCTTAAGGTCAATTACTGACCGATCTTCATAATATTTTAAAGAAGGAAAAATTCTACTAAATTATATATACTGGGTCCTTATTATATTCAAGGGCGATCTAGCTATGCCTGTTGAAAACAATATGTGTTCTAAAAAGGAAGCGGTGATCTTGATAAAATGTTGCGGCTGTACCTAATTGTGAAGTGGTTCGATGAAATTTGAAGTGATATTTAGAAGATTTCATAGAATGATATGTGGACTTAATCATATCATTAGGAGGCCAGATGAAATCATGGACTGATACGTCCAAATTATTAACTAAATTATACCTTTTACGAATGAAGCCTAAAAATGTTAAAAATTTGATACATTAACAAATATTTTCGCTGGGAAATACAACAATTTATACAATTAAAATCAAATTATTGATAAATTATGCGAATGTACATCTCAATATTTTGCTCAATTCAGTCATTAGAAGTTATTAAACACTCTGGCCTTCGAAGAAAATCATTTGAGCAATTTGCAAAATTTCAAATATACATTGAGGTCTGTCTTTAAGCATAAGTTATTTATTAATAAATAAAAACATTAAAACGATATGAATGCGTAGTTTGAGATGATTATTTTTCGTGCTAAAATTATGATGGAAGAAGTTTCCATGAAACATAGTTTTCTTTTAATTATTGGTTGAATTCATATTAAATCTTCATAAAAATAATATTTTTCAATAAACTTTAATATTCTAAGAAGCCATTGCTTTCATTAACTACTATTTAAGATGAAATTTAAGACGGGAGACAAGTGGTGTTTCTTAAACCAGTTACATAGTTAGTTATGTATTTCTTTGTTGAATTAATTTTAAAGTAGTTTTACCATTTGAATTATTAATTGTATCTTAATGAAAAGCATGTAATTTAATATTTATAGACAGTTGCTAAATTGGTTAGTTTGACTAAATTCATTATTATGAATTAATTTCCCAAACTAAAATTTTCATATATAAGACTTAAAGTTTTCATAAATATTTGAACTTACCATTGGATGACTTTTCAGCAGACGTGTGTGCGGTATACTTCTTCTTGAACGAGCATGTGGCAAAGTCCGATGTTTGAAATGATATTCATGCCCCTGGCCACCCACCAGCTGAAATAAGACAAAAAAACACAAATACTTCATTAGCAATTGACATCTTACCAAAATGCATGAGTAATTTCCGTAATAATATATAATAAATCAAATTAACAGAATCACATCTGTGAGTTTGAAGAATAAATTATTTAATAAATATTCATGATTTGAACCAACGCAAGAGCAAATCATTTTTCATTATTACACATGAATAAATATTGTCTAATTAAAAAGTCAAAATATAAGAAATTCTCCACTAATATCACCACCTTAAAGTTGTGTCATGGCAATATGAATATTTAATTTTAATAACAACATTTGTTTAAATGAAAATACTTATTAATTAGGGTATTATTTTCACAATTAATATTTATAATTTCGTTTCCTGTTGTTTTCCATAAAGAAATGTTAAACAATGAAATTGAATAGCAACTTGTTATAAGACAATAAGTCTTTTCAAATTTAATTTTATTTAAAAGTAAATAACTAAATACCTTTTAAATTATTTACTTTTAATTTTGTTTTTCCAGTTAAAAATTATATTTAAATAAGGCATAACATTGCTGTTCTGTTTAAATCCTAAATAATCAATAAAAATATTTAAAAATTGTGTAGTGTTTTACTGTTAACATTTTCGAGTTTATTTAAAATTTTTCTTCTATTTTAAAATACATACATACAAACATACATATGTACATATATGTATTTGCTTTAACAAAATTTAAGCAAAATGAGATTATACAACCGAGTTTCCAGTAGGTTAATATCAATATGTATATAAATACAATGACTTTCAGTCCATCAGAGTACATTGTTTCAATGTTTTAAATTTGCTCTGAAAAACATAGTTGAAATTTGTAACTTATATTTTTTTCCTGTTACGGAATGTACTAAAATTGACTTTACTAGAAAATGTTTGATAGCTTTTGAACAATTTACACTGAGTTGATTGAAATATTTGTACTTCCAACATTTGGGAAGATCAGTTGTTTTTTTTGCAAAGATTTTCATTTCCATTACATAATTTTGCAATCCTATAAAATATATAGATTATATACATACATCATATGTATGCATTCTTATATCAATTTGCTAAAGATATCTTCAGAATCCAAATCTAATTCGATTAGTCATTCTCGAGTTGACAACGCCCAAGAATATCGATAGTGGCATTCAGTAATCTGGATTTTATGAACTCGTCTTTGAAAGTAAAATCTTAGAATATCCACTATAATTTCATTTAACGCTGTTTCCACTGATAGTCCTTTATCAGGTGCTCTGTAACTATCAGGAAAATGGTATTTTGCTTGGCTCATCCGAGAGACCTCAATGTTAACCGTGCAAATACAGGCAAATCCCGGTATAACGAATCTTACTTTAACGAAAATCCGATATAACGAACAGCCAAATTTTTAACATTAACTACCTTATATAGCGAACGTTTAAGAAATTTTATACTCGATATAACGAATAAAAAGAAAAAATACCTAAAAAAATCCAGCTTTTGATTTTATATTTATATTGTTAATATCAAAAACTTGATTGAGCAATTAGAATATAATGTAAAAATCAAAGAAGTCGCCCATATTCCTAATTTTAGTTATACTACATATCTGACCTATCGATCAAAATTCCTTACATTATAATCTAAAAAGCATAAATCTGTTAGATGTGAATTTAATGGTAAATTTGGCTTGAATAGTGTTTAAAAGGGATACATTGAAATAATAAAATTTTACAGCAAAATAAATTATTTCGATACCCCAATATGGCGCAATATTCCAGGGTTTTGAAATTATCAGCATGAGACTCAGTTATCGATTCTCAAGTTCAGTTTTTCCTCAAAAGAGTTTAATTCTATCATCTAGATAATAAAATAAGGTTAAGGAAATCACAAATTTTTCAATCCGTTCAGATGTTCAAAATGGAAAAACGTGTGCGTTGTTATTAGTTGTTTGAAATAAAATTTGAAGTAATAATTTCATACATTAATTTGAATGGTTTTTTGTCCATTAAATAAAGAAATTTACTAGAAAAAATAATTCCGATATAACGAATATTTCGATTTAACGAAAGGGCCTGATATTATATCATTCGTTATACCGGGATTCGCCTGTACACAAATCTGTCTTTTCACAAGAAAGGCAGAAATTTCTTAGTATATTGAAACCAGTTTTCTGAGCAACAAAGGCTTTGGAAACCGGAAAATTGGAGGTTCTATATTGAAGACCCAGAAACAGAAATGTATCACCGTTTACCTAATCATAACACTAGCTTCCAGGCAGAATGCGTAAATTGGATTAGAATAAATATGGCGCCATATATTTACATATTTACCGATAGTCAGAGGACAATAAGGGCGATATCAGGTGATAAAGTTAAATCTAAGATCGTGTTGGATTGTAAGAAATACTCAATGATTTCACCCATCGCCCATATAATAACGCCTTTAGAAATGATTTAAAATACAATTTTCAGGAGCAGGATAAGGTTTTTTTGAAGACGTAAACCTTATATGAGAGCTAAGACGTAAAAATTTCGTAGAATGATTCATATGTACACAAAACATGTTTGTGTCGAATTTTATCAAGATATCTTTATTTGATAATGAAATATGTGCGTTTAAGTGATATTCGTAAGTGGATCTTATATGGGAGCCTATCCTGGAAAAATTTCGTAGAGTGATTTATATAAAGACAAAACATATTTGTGTCCAATTTTTTTACAACAACTTTTAAATTTTAAATAACTTTTGTTAAAAACTTAAGATAAAACTTTAAGAAGATTATACATTTTAACAGAACCCCCCCCCCCAAAAAAAAATATGTTAAAACATCCCAAAAGCTGTGTAAATATGTGAGACATGAATTATACATTTAAAATAATACATATTATGTATAAATTTTGTTATCTAACTTGAAAGAAAATGTTTCCGGTTAAAAGGAATGGAAAGTTACACGTGTATATAGAAGTATGCTAACAAATGTGCGTGTGTGTATGGATGTGGTGGGTATTTCGGTATGTATATTAGTTGTCTTCATCTCTTATTAAAACGGAACTTTTTTCAGTTTTTGTTTTTCATTTTAATAGTCTACTTTGTGGCTCATTTGCTTTTGTTTAAGAGTGCCAAAAAGCCACTAGCGTATATATTAAATTGTTTTTTCAACTTTGCACTTTTCATCTGCACAAACAACTTAATACAGCAGTTACTGTTGAAGATACGAACGAATTCTAACGACTAACAAACTTAGAGATACGATTTCGAAACATTTTCCCCATTTTTTACAGCCACACACAAAAATATGTGAAGTAGGTACTTATACTAATTTAGTCATTCCATTTAAAACACATGGAACTATAAAATATCTACCTTAGTCCGCTGAAAGGATTAAAATTTCCACAAATGTTGGTTAATGACGAACTTTTGTTTGATAGTCAAAATCTACCTAAATACAAAAAAGTCCATCAGTGTAACGTTCAAGTACGTTGGTGCTTTAATGATGGAATCTTGGATGATAAAATTTTTCTTAAATATTATTCATTAATCCAAAATGCCTTATTCATCTAATCTAATCAATCTAAAATGAAGAGAATGTCTATGTGAACCTAAAGAAGAGATGGGCCAGTTCTCAACTTTAACACTTACCATTTGTTATGGTGGGTATAGAAGATTCGTTACCGCCGAATAAAACAAACTAACTTGTTCATTTTAGAAAAATGAATCTGACTTTATACTAACTACGAAACCCGAGCTAAGTTCAACTATAGTTGTAACATACAACTTGTAGGTTGGTACGGTTGTTGTACTTTGTTTAAGTATATGTTTGTTTGTAAATAAGTAATGTGTATTTCCATCGCTGGTTGAATGCAGTGTTGCCATTGCAACTATTCTGGTGTTAGAAAAATCATTTAAAAATATAAAACTTGACGATTTAATCTATAATAATTAAGTTTCCATTTTCAAATGATCTAAGTAAGATAATTAATTATACCAATATCATATTTTGTAACACTATTTTTCTCCACAACACTTTCTGGCAACACTTTCGCATTGTTTGCTCCCCCTTTTAAATACTATTTTGTATTTTAAAAGACTATTTTAGATAAATAGCTATTAATATTCCATTTACTATCTGTATTTTTAAACAGCAGTTTATATCTTATGGTCTTTATCATTAAAAGCATTAAATGAGAATAAATACATACATATTTAAACATACTTTTACAACTAATTATTTAGCAATGGAAATTTAAGATGGGATTATATATGTGCTATTAATGTTGACAATACAATTATTAATTGAGTTAATTAAAAACTACAACTGTTGCATTATTCTGTAATATGTTTTCAAACACTAAATAAATTTAATACAGTTATAGATTTACTACCTTATTCATAAACATTTATCAAAGGTTTATAGAACAAATTTTGTATGAAAATTTGATTTATAGACCTTTGATAAAAGTTTATGAATAAGACCCTTAACATTTTTGAAATTAAGCTAAAATAATAGCAAACAGTTTATATCGCATATAATTATACTGAGACCTAACAAAACATATTTATATATCCTGATCCTTATAAAATTCTGGAATTCATATAAAGAAAACATTTTCTGGATCGGTTTATATTTGCTCATAGCTCACATAGATGGTCTGAAAATCACTTAAATGAACAAACACAGAAATATATAGATAAACAAGTTAGAGTGCTATATTCGGCTGAGCCGAATCTTAAATACCCTCCACCAGCTACTTTTATATTAATATTTTTTAATAGATCAAATATTTGTAAAAATAAGTTTTCTCATGTCTTAAATAGAAAAACCCCAAGATTTAAACAGCTTAAATCGGATTGCAAGATTTGTTGAACATTACAAACGCCATTTTCTTTTATATTTTTAAAGCACCCTAAGATATGCTTTAGCAATATTTAATAATTTGTGTGAAAGATTTAAGGAAATTAAAACTTTCGGGGCAGGACCTTGTATGGGAGCTATGACCAAATATGAACT